AGCAACCTTGCCTTTTCCAGGACCCGGCCAATTTTCAAGCAGGTCTATTGGATTTAATGAAGATGAAATAGATGATGTTTTGTACGATTCGTTGGCGGACATTTCAAAATGTTAAGGTTCTAATTAGATGACTGATGTTGGACTTGAGTTATATGATTCGGATAAGTGTTAAAGTTGGTTAAACAAATTTTGTTTATTATGTTTGTTGATAATTGAAAGGATATTTTTTATGTTTTCTTGAATGTTAACTTAGCTTATCACTATAGTGATCACTATAGTGAATCACTATAGTGAACAATAAACTGATCAATGAGGAAGGTTCTGTGTAATTTTTGTCACTTTCAAACGAAAGGCTCTGAAGATAAAAGAAGTTCGTCAATTTACCCCTGCTGTCAACTAGCCCAGGTCTACCCTATTTTTTTTATTTTTATTTTCAGTAGAAAGCACGTCCGTTCACGATCACAGTTAGCGAATCAATAATCAATATATATATTATAATATAATGTATATATATATATTAAAGAATAGTGATTTTGCCGTATAGTGAATTGTCGGCTAGGTGCTCAGCCAAAGCACCGAATTTTCGGTGACACTTAGTTAATTTTGAAGGTTCTGATCTGTTTGATTGAAGCGGATACGTTAGTTACGCTCTTGGCGTTTTTGTTTCATTCGTGACTAGATTCGTGTGTCACAGCACGCATTATTTGTTGGCCATTATATCAAATTGTTTTAACTATAGTTATGTATAAAAGATACTCTTCAAATCATTCAAAAAGATCAAAAAAATAATCAGCTCAGGTATATCTTGCACTTGTGAGCTAATTTAAGAAATTGCTATTGATAGATATAGCACAAAGAACTCTAAGCTTATTAAAAATGATATCATCACTACAATCTGAATTTTAACGGGAGTATCAATTATACGGTAGCTTTTTTATTGATGCACGTTTTTAAAAACTAATTTCAAGGAATTAATTAAAAGACAACGAGCAATTCCATTTGAAAATGGTATTAGTTTTACATGAAACTGTTAGTTAAATTGGAAAACAACCCCTTACAAATTGTGGTCAGCAAACGGAAAATACAAGCATAAGAAGTTGTGTTAAACAAAAATAAATTTACATTTATCTATTTATATATGTATGTATATATAAAGATAACCTGCAAATTATCATTGCAATAATTATTTATCATTTATGTATTTATATATTATATATTATGTATTTATATATTATATATTTATGGCAAATTATGCATATATATATATATATATATATATATATATATATATATATATATATATATATATATATATATATATATATATATATATATATATATATATATATATTGAATGCAAGTTTTTGTTAGCTAATGGCTTGCTTTTCTAGCTAGTGATTTTCGTGGACAAATTGTTGTCTTTATCGTTACCAACATTGCTAGCTAGTCGCTAACTGACTTCTTACAGAGTTGGAATCGTATTTATTTTAGCATTTCTCTTATTTCGGTAACTTCATTTATAAATAAAATCTTATTAAAAACTTGCTAAAAGTATTTTTTATTAAAATCTTAAAAAGAATATCTCGGAAAAAATTAAAAGATTTGCATCCTTTTTCTAGTTATTCTTCCAAATGTATTCTACCTTCAAAGAGTATTTTCAAGTATCAACCATAAAATTTACGGTTCGAAATGAAAAAAATTTATCTATCAACTTTTACTATCAAAGTAAATTGTTTTTAAAAAAAAATTATTTTCACCATTAAAGCTAAAGAAATAATTTATGATTTGAGTTTGCTGGTTTTCAGATACTAAAGTCAGTTTACATGGTTGCTACCCTCACAGAGTCACCCTCATCCTTACAGAGTCTGTCATTAAGACCATCTTAATAGTAACTTTTAAAATAAAATTAAAAAAATTTGATTAGGCAGACCCAATTTGAAACTATTTTGGCATAATGATGGCAATAATTTGGCATAGTTTTGACATAACTTCTTCTATTAAAAATTCTGGGCAAAGAATTGATAACTTTCTCTGTAAGGTCTCACAACACAACACTCGAAGAGAATAGAAAAGAGGTAAGGTCTCACAACACAACACTCAAACCTCACAACAATTCAAACCTCACAACACTCAATTCAATTCAAACCTCACAACACTCGAAAAGAATAGAAAAGAGGTGATCACAAAATTGACGAAATAAACCTTCACGTACCACTGAGGTGCCCATCACCATCAACGTACATTATACAATTCTTACGTTTATTTTATAGTTTATTTTTACATAGTTGTAAAAATAAACTAGAATCAATCTGATTCGTTTGCAACGAAATGAAAATTTTGAAAAACCGGGTAAAACTCAGTGACGGGTCCAGGAATTTTTGTTGTGTGTGTGTGGGGGGGGGGGGGGGGGGGGGGGAGAAGGGGTATAAGGCTGATATTTTTGTGTTTTGTATCACATTTGCGTCTCCTAGAAAAAAAAAAGATCCTCCATTTCTAAGATATTTTAAGACATTTAGATTCTGATAGGGAAACCTTTTTCCAGCCCCCTTGATCCATCACTGGTCAAACTAACAAGTTTTTTGCTAACTAATTAAAATACCGAAATTAAAATAGAAGCATCTTTGACTTTTTTTTTTCATCATTAACTTCGAATTTCATTATAAATTTGGAATTAAAGTAAAAGTAAGTTTTTAAAACCTTTAAAACTTTTCAATCTTTTTATTAATAACTGATGCCAAAGTATTTTGCTGTAGATTAAAAATGTAACATGTAAAAAGCACTTAAATACTATATCTATAACAAAATTTACTAATTTTCTTTTATTCATTGCTATTTAAGTTATGTGAATACTGCTTGGTTACAAACAAGTCTAAACGTTGCTAGGTGCAACATTAATGCTGTAAACTGTTAAATAAACAAAAACATGCTGTAAGGATTATTACAAATGCTGATCGCTTTTTACAAGCTAAAACTTAAATTAATGAGTTCTCAATGTTTTCCACTTAACCTTTATAAAGTTCTTATTTTTATGTTAAAAGTTGAAAGAAAAAAAATTGCGCCCAGCTTATTTAATTCAATCTTAAAATAAAAAAATAAAACAAAATAAAAGATTTTTTTTTCTTAACCAACTTAAAATAAAAGTCAAGTAAAAAAACTTTTAATTAACGATAATAAAAAGTAACTTTCTTCTACATATTATTAAAAATAAAAAATTGTAATGAAATAAAATGATATATTTAATTTTTCAATAAAATAATATACTAATTTTGTTAATTTACACTTATTAATGACTTTATGATATTTGGTATTATGGTCTATCCTCCTCCGGCTAATTGCCACATTAAGGCCACATACCAAGACCTGCAAAGACACCAAAGAGCGTCATAACCCGCTTCGCCGACCAAGAAAAAGTAATTTTAAGAAAAATAAAAGACTATAGAGTGAAAGTCAGAAGAATTCGATTTAGAAAGATAGCATAAAGTAAGCGGACAGATACTGCGCTAAATGTCACGTATAAAAATTTTAATAATTTACGCTACCTTATGATATTGTGTGCTTTATATATTCGAGAGTTTAAGCTTACACGCGTTACACACGCCTTATCTCCAAGCGGTGTTATTACAAACGCTAACAAGTTTACTACCACAACAAATTTCAAAAACGTTAACCATGAAAAACTTTCAACATGTGCGTTTTAAGTCATTAATTTTCAGGACCTTTTTTATGTTAAAATTATTTCCAAAAACAATTCCAAAAACAATTCCAAAAACAATTCCAAAAACAATTCCAAGAACAATTCCAAGTACAATTTCAAAAATCTGCTCTATAAACAATTAAAGCAATCTTACTAGAAAATCTGCATAAAAGTTTACTTAAAATTAAAAGATTACATTGGGAGCTTGAGACGTTAACCTCAAAAATATTTAAGCAAATCATTAAAAATAAAAGTATGAGTTTTAAAACTCATTAATTATTCATGTACGTACGTTTTAAGCAGTGGTAAGATGTACGATTTCTAGCGTAGAGGATTTCTAGCCTACGTTTTAAGCGCGATTCGTTAGAATGGAAGTTTCTCTAAGACTTATTAACTATTTAAGAGAAATTCTTTTATATTCCTACCACTGCCTTGACATAAGGCTTGTATTCTTAAACTCTCTATTGTATTTTGTGTGCTATACACGTAATATATATATATATATATATATATATATATATATATATATATATATATATATATATATATATATATATATATATATATATATATATATATATATATATATATATATATATATATATATATATATTATATATATATATATATTATATATATATATATATATATATATATATATATATATATATAGAGAGAGAGAGAGAGAGAGAGAGATTATATATATTTTTTCCGTGGGAGATAATATATTTTATAACGTAATATAACTTATATAATCATATAATCTTATTCAGTATTATCTTTTTTATATTATCTTTTGTGTACTTTGATGTGATATTTTATATGCTGAGAAAACTTAGTGCTAAGTAGACTAATTACATTCAAGTATATATTACAGAATGAAAATTATGTTGCAATTTAAAGAAGGCTCGTTTTTTATCATAGGGCTTGGTGATAAGATTTAGTTTGCTTGCAGAAACATATGTAATAGGACCCAGCCATGTTACATATATTTCTATATTTTTTGTCTAATTTAATATATATATATATATATATATATATATATATATATATATATATATATATATATATATATATATATATATATGTATATATATATAAATATATATATATATATATATATATATATATATATATATATATATATATATATATATATATATATATATATATATATATATAAATATATATATATATATATATATATAAATAAATATAATAATAAAAATAATAATAGCAATAATAATAATAATAATAATAATAATAATAGTAATAATAGTAATAATAATAATAATAAATGTTTTACCTAATTTTCATAGTTGTAATTTTAGACTTTGCATATACATATATTGCATTCTGTATTGTATTCTTCTCATTAGTGATAAACAAAAAAGATAACATCATAAAAAAAAACATCGGATACGTTTTTAATAACTTATTAATGAGTTTTAGTATTATTAACAAAATTCATATAAAAAAAGTAAAAAAAAAAGAAAATAAAAAAGACCACAGTGTCATTCCTAACTTTTCCATTTAATATCATACTGAACAACCCATAGCAAATGATAAAATAAAAAAAAAGTTTAATTATAACCATTTTGTAAACAGTAATGTAAGTACTATGGATATATTTATATTTTTCATTAAAATAATATTTATACAGGATTTGAACACTTTAAAAAACACAATAAAATATTTTAAAATTCTTTCTTTTTATATTTAAATAATCCAAAAGCATTTTTTATTGTTGTACAAAAGTTTTGATGACAATCAAGTCTTAGAAAATTTTTCGTGACGTCATTACCGATAATGATATTTATTTATAAAACCCAGCCTTTTTAATAACCGTATCTTAATTGTAATTTTATCTATCTATAAAATCCGATTTAGTGTTGTATCTTAAAACAATAAATCTTGGTACCTAAGAGCCAAATAAAAAGGGAGAAAAAAATGAAAAATAGACTAAACAATGCAATCCAAAATATTTTGTAAGGAGGTTTTTTTCAGATAAAGATAATAATAAACTCAATCAGCAAATCGACATTAAGGCAAGAAAAGCGTGTGATTTTGCAGAGTTAATAAAAGAAGTTAATAGAAATAGGTATGTGACCTTGATACAATGGAACATTTTTTATCGATTTGATAATCTTTTTTTATTGACTCCATATATATAAACAAACCTTTGAATTCGATAAAAAAGATTCGAATGATAAACATTGGTTGATAAACATAATCAACAAATAAGGTTGCGGAATGTGGTTTAATTTGACCTATTAGGATGAAAATATGTATGCAAAAAGTAGGACTTGTTAAAAAGTGGTCTGACGGATTATAATAAGAGTTCTTTGGGAGTTAACGTAATCTTAATGCAACAATTCGCGTTAGAGTACAAAGTCTAAAGCATTCTAAACACGTGTTTAATTGTTAATTATAACACGCGTCCGATTGCACTAGTTTAACAATTCGGAAGATAACTATTATATAAATATTTATTTTTTATTTTTCTGATGAACCTGCTGAAGGTGAAAAAGACTCTAGAAAAAATTTAGATAAGTGTTTTTACTAATTTATTCCAAGTGAGCACGGAACGTTTTTTAAACGTTCTTTGGACGTTTTTATTAGGTTTAAACCTAACAAAAACGTTTAAAAGCCCACTGGGTTATTGCTCTGTTTTTTAAGAACATTGAGCTCTAATTTTGTAGAATACATAGACTTAACTAACATCTTTTTAGTTGAATATTATCAATGAGTAGAGAGGGCATTTCGTATGGTATCCAGTTAACCAGTTGGAAATTTTTATAAGATTTCTAAAAGTTTTCTCTAAAATCTTTGTAAAATCTCTGCATGGTTTCTTTAAAATTTTATGCAATCTAGATATATACTATCTAGATAAATTTTATGCAATCTAGATGCTTTATAGAGATCATTGATTATAAAACGAAAACCACAATTACTACTAAAACTAAGTAGAACGCCACAATTCCTTTCAGTTGTTGAGCGCGGTTATAAGTTTAAACATATTAACTTGTTAACAGATTCATATATAAACAGACGTTTGTTTATACTAAGTATAAACAAACTTCTACATCAATGATGACTACGTTTATACTAATACATTAACTAGATAACCTAATTAATAGTATGAATTGGACATTTTAACATCTAGTGCAATATCTGTCTGTTTTCTCTATGCTATCTTTCTAGCTCGACTTCTTCTGACTTTCACTCTAACTTACTACGTTCTTTTTAAACTCACTTACTCTTGGTCGATGGGTGATGATGCTATTTAGTGAGCTGAACTTGTCTTCGCGGGCCTGGTATATAATTTCCCAATGGCAATTAGCCGGAGGAGCATAAACCGCAATACCCACTTTGAGCACGATCACAAATAATTAACACAGTACTAAATAAAGAATGTCAAATTATAGTTCATATTTATGAAGCTCATTAAGCAACTTCCACTCATGAGATTTGTGAGCTATTGTAATTTAGTAGTCTGTCAAAGCTTAAAATATAATTTCAGTCGGAAAGTGACTAGGTTATTTGGCATATTGTTTTATGTGTTAGCTATACGCTTGCTGAAAAATTTTAAACGATTTAAATTGCTACTGTGTTTTTCTTGGTGAAATCTCTCACTGGGATTAGCTCTTGCGTATTTATGATGAAGGAAAAGTGCTAGTTAGTTATGTCAATGTTATTGTAAAGTTTGACATTTTGTTTACAACGGTCAACGAAAGGTTTGAGGTGATCGTTAGAAAAGATGCTGAAACGGCAGTAAAGTTTTATTTTACGTAATCGAAAGAATCGTTTCATTTATAGACCTGACAAAAGTTTTTTTGATGCTGACAAAGGAATTCTAACAACTCGATTTACTGTAGGACATATCTGTAAAATGCGAAATTTTTAAGGGCGATAAAAAAGTAAAAAATAAAATTTCTGTTCCACCAGGTTCCAAAAAAAAAATTTGAAATTTTTCAACGAATTTAATCAAAATAGTTCTGCCTAAAATATATTCCGCTTTTAAAAATTTATGTAAAATTGAAATCTTTGAATATTTGAGGCTGTACGAGATGACGTTAAATACGTTCGTAACTTTTGTTTCACAATACGAAGAAAATGTTTTACCATACTTTCCTGCATTCGTGTTTGTTTTCTAAATTAAACATTAGAAACGAGGGACATGTCAAAAAGTTATTTATTATGATAATATCTTGGTTTTTATGCTGTTTTATGTAAATAATTTGATTATAAATCAACTTTAACTAGTTTTTTTGAAATTTTAGAAGATATCACTCATTGCAAATCAAAAGTATTATTCTAATTGTACAATTTGATGAAATAAGTAAACATTTGTTAAATCGAACCATTTTCCTTGGTTCCTTGGAAGTTTGAGTTATCTAACTTTATTCATAATTTTTTTTCGAACGACAACTTTTTTTTTTATATAACAATATTATAAAAACGGAGACATTATTTTTTGAAATATATATTGAAGATTGTTGCAATAAAAAAATAGTAATAATAAAAAAATAGTAAAACGATATTGTAAAGATTTAGAAACAATAACTTTTTTTGTAAAAACAGTCCTTAACCAGAGCCGTCCGTAGGAGGAAGGGGGCGTAAGGGGTGCCAAAACAACAAAATAACTATTAAAAAAAATAGTCGGTAAATCCGAAACTTTATTAGATAGTCGGCAAATGGTAGTTAACGAGGACTTTTTTTTTTAGTCGCTAGTAGGTTATTTTAGTCTCTCGTCGGCAAAAAGCAGATATGTCACCCCAACCCCTTTTACGATCTCTTCAGGACGGCACTCACCTTATTACATCGAGAATTGATGTTTTATCTAAAAAAAGCTAAAAATATACTTTTAAGTTGTTGCTATCGACCACCAGCTAAGAGCATTGATAATATTAATTCGTTTTTAAATATAGAAATTACAATGATAAGTACTAATAAAAAGAAATTAGACTACCTAATAGGTGACATAGACTTAAATGCGTTTGATTACGCAAGTTCCAGAATTAAAAAGTTTTACAACGATGCATTTGAAAATGACGCAATTCGGTTGATAAACAAATCAGCAAGAATAGCATCAGTTTCCTTAGGAATCGTCTATGAATTATACAACTCTTGATTTAACTAATAGACAAAATAAAAAGATCAAAATTTTCCTTTGCAGAGAATAATTAAATTGTCCTTCGCAGAGAATAAATTAAACCAAAAATTAAACTAGCGCTTTAAGTTTAATGAAAACTACCGCGTAAAAGAGCAAATGCCTACTCCTTTCTTCTATTATTTGAATTAGTTTAGCGTTGCGTAATTTATGGAAGATCGCTTAATAGATAATATAATAACGACATATGTACTTATTTATATATCTTTAAAAAAATTAATATTTAAGAATGATATTTCAGATCATTTTCTAATTTTTTTTAATACTTTTTTTATAGTAGAGACTGAACTAAAACAAGTTTTCTTTATTTGCTACAAATTAAAACACTGTTTTAATGAGTAGCAAAATACACAGTTACATCATTTAATGATGTAACTGTGTATTTTAATTAAACGCCATATACACAAAATACACAGTTACATCATTTAATGATGTAACTGTGTATTTTGTGTATATGGCGTTACATCATTTAATTTCATTAAATGATGTAACGCCATCACAGTTACATCATTTAATGAAAAGTTATCGCACCTCGCTGGAAACAAAATTACATCATCTGACGCAAATGTTACATCATTTAACGGAAAATTATCGTTACTTCACTGAAAACATTTATGTTTACTGTGAAGTAATTATAATTGATATACAAATATAATAGAAGCAATTTTAATTGCATCATATGACGCAAATGTATGTTAACTCATTTTATAACACTTCTTTTGAAATATATGATGCAAACTTTCTGAGACATGAAATTAATTTTAAAAAATAAATCACCGTGGACTAGACTGTTTACAAAGAACCGTAGGAAATCTTCTGAAATCAAACAAAAACTTAGTATTTTGTATTTAAAATCAGATAAAAATAAGATTGTTTACAAAAATTATGTAAAGTAGATTGAGTCAAAAGAAAAAACTTTTATATATATATATATATATATATATATATATATATATATATATATATATATATATATATATATATATATATATATATATATATATATATATATATATATATATACCCTTATAGTGTAGTCGAAAGAGCGTTTTAATGTAAAAAAAGTCTCTTACGACTACAATTTTAATTACCTCGTCTCTTAAGCTGTTTTTGATTGTCATCGAAATGTCAAAGCAATTAATTTATGCGGAAGTACATTAAATTTAATTGTTTTTTAAAAAATTTTTAAAAAACCGCAATTATAACGACTAGAAAGTTTTTTTTAATTAGTGGTGTTTTTGTTATTGATTTAATAAAAAACATTTTTTAAACATGCGTAAATGTTGCTACATCGACTATCTTATAGCCTGACTCGCAACGGAGTGCTGCTACATCGACTGACAAATAGCCTGACTCGCAACGGAGTGCTGCTACATCGACTGACAAATAGCCTGACTCGCAACGGAGTGCTGCTACATCGACTGACAAATAGCCTGACTCGCAAGGGAATGCTGCTACATCGACTGACAAATAGCCTGACTCGCAAGGGAG